GACCAGCCTCGCTGTGCTGTTTGGTGTTGTCATAGAGCTGTGGGAACAAGGTCCATTTGAGAAAATCACATTAGCATTGAGGACGGAAACGACACTGTGCTGCCCACTCTCATCTCCCTTGACACTCTCGGGAAGAAGACAGGCAGACAAAACCCAGCCCACCCCACAGCATCCCCAGGGGCACGCGCACGGCTCTGGAGCAGCCTCGGGCATACAGGCACTAAGGCTGAGCCGCCTTACGCAAGGGCTTGGAGCTTTGCAGTCCTCCTGGGACTTAGCCAAGAGGGAAACTGCTGTAGGTGCAAGGATAGGCTCCCCTTACCTGGCAGAACACGGCACTGGTAATGTCCTGAAACCTGTCCTTGGGGATGAGACACTCAATGCCCTGTAAGGCCTCCAGGAAGATAGTAAGGCTCTGCAAGAGACCAGAAGAGGAAGAGAGGGATGAAGCCACATCTAGCCACGTGGGAGTGGAGAAACTGTTTCCCAATGGTTTGTCCACTGGGAGAAGCTCCCGCACAGATGTTCTTGTTTGTCCCACACCTCCCAGCAGCACCAAGAGAGTCTGTCTACTCTCAGCCAAGCCCTGTTTGGGCATCGTTTGCAGGCATTTCCCACCCAGCAGTTGTTTTCTCCCCCATCAGCTGCAACTGGATATGGTACCCCCGTTGCTGAGCTCCTCAGGCAGTCAGAGCCCCACAGTGGTGATGGTGAAGCCTCCCATCCCCAAGAGATGATTCTCAGTGTCTCTTGGCTCCCTCCTGGCTCCTGTCCAGGTTGTTCCTTCTTTGACTGAAGAGCTCAGGAAGCCTCAAACCTCCCTTGAACACCTGTTCCTTCTTTCTCCAAGAGCTCTTTGCCTTCTCCCTGCATCCCCCTGACCCCTCGTGGCAGTTCATGGGCCCCACATGCACGCTGAGCCCTGCGCAACATCTCACCTTGGCCATCCTGCAGGTGTCTTGCACCTCCTGACACGGGTGCACGAGCCAGAGGAGCTGCTCCCAGACTTGCTCTCGGTGCAGCTCCTCTTGCAGAAGGACAGCCAACATGGCAGCCACAGCCCCAAGGACGGCCTGTTTGTCCTGGAGAGGGATGGCAGAGTCTCAGCATCAAAGACTGAAGGTCTGCCCTTCTTACAGAGAAAGCTTTCTCTTTCCCTTCCCTTTCTCTATTCACCCGTGCCCAGCAGAAGATGGGCTCGCTCTGGAGAGCAGGCAGGTTTTCCCCACACCCTCATCCCCAGCTCTTCCTGTCACAATGCTGTAACATGTGGCTGCTTCCCGGCAGGGAGATCCAGCCCCAAGCCCTTTGCAGAGCCAGCCCACTCCCTCTCATCACCCCTCTGCTCTCAGCCCTCTGGGCAGACAGAGCTGCCAACATGGATGTCTCCAATGGCATGCTGGGCTGGGAATGCAGCAGTGCTCACCTCTTCCTCCTGGCAGTCCTGCCAGTTCTTCACCATAGAGAAGAGCAGCTCGTGAAGATTCTCATAGATCTGCTCTTTCTCTGTGGCAGGCCAGGGGCACTGCTTTCCAGAGGACAGGCGAATTTTGACTCCGCCCAACCATTGCTTCACAACTGAAAAAAAAAACAATCCAAAACAACAACAAAAGAATGATTAATTTAAAAAAAAAAAGAGAGAGAGAAAAGGGAGCCTGTGAGAATCTGCAGCAGGGAGAGGTGCAAGGGCTGTCCCGAGGCCCCCTGCTCTGGGGCCGGCACTCACCAGCACAAGCGATGCGCAGAGTTTGGCCGCTCCTCACCTGGCCCACCACACTGCGCAGGCCGGCCAGTGTCAGCCACACAAAGGGGATGCACTGTGGAGCTGCAGAGAGGAAGGAGAGGGCCACAGTCAGAGTCTTGGCAGCGAGGGAGGAGGGGCTGCAGCCCTGCATCCCCCAACTCAACGCAGATCACGTGCAGAGGGGAGAGGCCCCTTTCCCCGTTGTTACAGATGTCAGGCTGAGGGCACTCTACCATAGGTGCTGAAGAGTTTGCTCAGGGTGATGAGCACAGTCTCCTTGGATGCATCCCCCATGGCCTTCAGGTGGCCCTGGAGCTCGGCCATCACCAAGGTGAGGTGCGTCCGAGCCAGAGCCACCAGGACATTGCTGGCAGCTGTCCTTATGTTGTCTGTCACGCCCTGAAAAAGAGTCTCTGGTGACACGTGGCACAGGAGACTGCCTGAGGCCCTTGGAAAGCCTAAGCCACCACCATCCACCAGCAGAACACCAGCGTGGGCAGGCGGCTCCTTTTGCCTTTAGGAGTGACCCCTCACCTGGGCTGCTGTCAGGTCCCGGGACACCTCTGCCAGCAGCCGGTTCACCACTCCGCAGGGCGGGCGGCTGTCGGCTTCCCTCAGGGCGCTCTCCAGCTCACAGTACGCCTGCGCTCGGTCACCCTGGGGACAAGGATCAGTCACGCTCACTTTGCCCGCTGCCACCCATCGCTATGTGGATGTGCTGCCAGGGCCTGGCACCCACGGGACCGTGGCACTGGGCCAGGAGGGCAAGGATTGATGGTTGGATGTCCCCATCTCACCTCGTGATCTTGCAGGCGCTGCAGCAGTAAAGTCACGGCGCAGGTAGGGACAGGGCTTGACACCCTGCTTCTCTCCCTGCGACGTGTTCGCCTGGGCATGCAGCCCACACAGGCAAAGAGACCTGGAAGGAAAGAGCAGAGCAGCTGCCGCTGGTGTTGCTTGGAGCCAGGGCTGAGCATCCGACCAGCTCTGGCAGGAACTCTCCTCCAGCCCCATAGCACGGGGTAGTTGGCGGGGAGAGGGGAGAGAGCCTTCCCCCTGTGGGGGTACTGCTGCACTCAGCAGAGCAAGACATGCTGCTGGCATGTCCTAAATAGACACTGGAGGCACACATGTGCTCGGGCAGCGTCGCGGTGTCCAGAGAGGTGGAGGGAGCTCACCTCGAAGGGCTCTCAGCCGCTCCATCGCAGCAGGATATGTCCAGACAGACACAACGCTCTCTCTGGCTCCTCTTCCTGCGGGTCCCAAAAGCGGACTGAGCCACCACTCCCACCGCTGCCACAAGGGTGTATGAGGTAGCCACTATGACATCACACCGCAGAGTGTCACCTCACAGAGAATGACGGCTGGGGACCAGACAGCATGCAAGGCAACCTTGCAGGCCACAAAACACAGCATGTTTTTGTGACGCACTAAGCTCCAGGATTCTGGTTCCATACTGAAGCAGGCAATCACCTCAGCGGGGAAGGGAGAGCCCCTGCCAGGGAGCAGCTGCCAGGCATTGTCTTAGTGATTGGGGACTGCATGCCAGGAGGCACTGAGGCCCTCATCTGCTGCCCAGACAACCTCTCCAGAGAGCTTTGCTGTCTTCCAGGGGCACATGTCAGAGATGTTAAGGACTCCACTACATCTAATCAAACAAGAAGACCACCATCCACTTGTTGTCATTCAAGTAGGGTCATGGGAGGCTGCCACAAGGAAATGGCAGAACTTTGCATCCCTTGGAAAGACGCTAAAGGGATTGGGAGAGCCAGGAGTGTTCTCCTCTGTCCTTCTGATTGGAGGCTGAGTCCCAAAAGGAAGGAGGAGAACAGAGGTGGTAAATTACTCTGATTATTGGGACGGTGTTGGGATTGAGGTTTTGTATACCTTGATCTTGGACACACATTTGAGAGAACAGGTGTGTAAGCATAAGATGGAATGCAACTGAGCAGTTGTGGCCAAAGTGTTCTGGGGAGCAAACTGGCTGGATTGATTACCAGAGTGTTAAATCATATTTGATGGAGGAAGGGCATGGAGTTCTTTGTGAAATGAGGAAAATATGTTAGGTGAAAAGTCATATGCCTTCATGAGGTATTGAATTGGCAGCTACAGATCTGACCTTTCTAAGCCAAGGTTTCGTTGCCGATAGCAGATGCTTTTCTACAGACCTAGAGAGTTAGTATGGACAGCGAGTCTCCTGTTTCTCCAAATAACACTGTTAGTTATCCTATCTCTGGAATGCAAGGCAGTAAACCACAAATTAACAAAGAAGCAGCGGATTGGCGGACGGAATTGACGCTGATAAGAGGACTGGCCAGAGCCAGTCAAGCATCCACCAACTTGACCCAGGTCAAAGAGTACACAGCCAGGAAGATGACAGCCTTCATCAGAAAGACCATCACATGACCAGGGAGAAATGCCACGCATGTGTAAATGAACTGAGACGTGGGGCAGGGAAAAATGTCAATCATTCTGGGGACTCACTGTAATAAAACAACCTTTTCTTTGACATCCAATGCGTATGTGAGCAGCTTGTTCTTTAAACACGTGCCTTTCCTGACCTCCGGTATGCAGGCTAGGAGGGAATATCCTCTGCATCCAGCATAGGTGTGCAGCGCTGAGTAAACATGCCTGCTTTATGACTGCTCTGTGGTTATAGAGTTTGATTCTGCATATCACTTGCGACAGACAAGGGCCTGGGAATGCTGTCTTCTTAGTTAACTGTGGAGAGAAACCTCCCAGTTGTCCATTAGGATCTAGTGAGGACTCCTCAGGGAAGACAACATTGCCAACGGCCCGGCTTAAACCTTCCTGCATCCCTCTACAGATTCCTGCACCCTCTGCTTCCCTACGGTGCCTGTATAGCAATGCACGCCGTGCGGGGAATAAACCGGAAGAACTAGAGATCTGTGCATGATTACAGGGGTGTGATGTGATTGCAATCACAGAGACATGGTGGGAGAGCTCACACAACTGGCATGTCATTGTGGATGGCAAGATAAGGCAAGGTGGTGGAGTTGTTCTTTATGTGAGAGAGCAACTAGAATGTTTTGAGCTCCATGCCGGGGGATGACCAGTGGATACAGCTTGTGGGTAAGAATTAAGGGCAGGCTAGCATAAGCGGCACTGTTGTGGGTGTGTGCTACAGGCCACCTGATCAGGGAGAGGAAGTGGATGAGGCCTTCTACAAACAGCTGGAAGTAGCCTTGCAATCATTCTTATGGGGTATTTAAACCATTCTAATATTTGTTGGCAAAGTAACGCAACCAGGTACGCAAAGTCCAGATGGTTCCTGCAATGCGTTGATGATAACATTCTGATGCAGGTGGCGGAGGAGCTGATGTGGAAGGGTATGCTACCTGACCTTGTTTTTACTAACAAGGAAGGGCTGGTAGGGGATGTGAAGGCTGGGGGCAGCTTGGGATGCAGCTATCATAAAGTGGTAGAGTTCAAGATCTTGTGTGGAAGGAAGAATCAAAGCAATAAGTAGGAGTGCTACCCTGGACTTCAGGAGAACCAACTTTGACCTCTTCAGAAACCTACTTGGAGGCATTTCATGGGTTAGAGCATTAGAAGAGGGCCCGCGAGAGCTGGTTGGCCCTTAAACTCTGCTTCTTCTGAGCTTAAGATTGGTGCATCCCTCAGAGTAAGTAATTGGGGAAAAGTGGCAAGAGGCCTGTGGGGATGAGCAAGGAACTCAGAGATAAACTAAAAAGAAAGAAGAACATCCATGAACAGTGGAAGAAGGGCCTGTCCACCTGGGAAGAATATAGGAACATTGTCAGTGTCTGTAGGGATGCAACAAGGAATGCTAAGGCCCTCTTGGAATTAAACCTTGCAAAGGAGGTAAACGATAACACAAAAGTATGTCAAGAGTACAAGGAAGGCTAGGGAAAATGTGGGACCCCTACTAAATGAGGTGGGTGCCTTGGTAACAGGGGATGCTGAGAAGGCAGAGATTCTGAATGCCGTCTTTGCTTCGGTCTTTAATGCTAAGACTAGCCCTTAGGAACCCCAGACCCAGGTAAGAGAGAGAGTCTGGGGAAGGGAAGGCTTTCCCTTGGTCAAGGAGGATTGGGCCAGAGAACATGGTGTTGGCCCATGACATCAGAGGCGGATGTTGGTGGTGTGGCAGTAGGGGTTGAAACTTCCCACCAATATTCCATGATATTGCCATGCAACAGATGGCAGCAGACAGGCAGTCCGACACAATGGGTCTGACATGGAAGTGCACATGGAGCAGGCATGTGTCACTGAACTCCTCCACGTGGAAAAAATGTCACCCACTGACATTCATTGACACACACGGAACACTTAAGAAGACCAAGCAGTGGATGTGAGATCAGTGGGGTGGTGGGCAGCTGCAGCAGCAACAGTAGGTCAGCTCTGCTGGTGCAGATTGTTACAAGCACGGCATGCAGGCTCTTCTTCGTCGCTGGTGAAAAGGCATAGCTCATGGTGGTGACAATTCTGTAGCTATGAACGTGAAGAGGTTTCAAGAGGGATTACAGGTCTACTGTGTGGAACTGTTTTCAAAGTGAGTTGAAGCGGGATTTCTTTCCAAAAGTCTGCATCTGGATGGCATAGATGCTGGCATTAAGGGGCTGCATGGCCCTGGGCAACTGGGAGCAAGTCTGAGTCTTGCTTCCACTGGCCACATGCACTCACACAAATAAGTGTGCACATGCACATGAGTGCAGACACACACACACATGCACACACACACAACTGCCCTGGTGACAGAAGATATGGAGAAGGCGGTGTTACTGAGTGCCTTCTCTGTCTCTGCCTCTACTGCTAGAGGCTGTCCTGAGGAGCCCTGTACCCCTGAGACCCTAAAGGAAGTCAGGATCAAAGAGGAATTTGCCTCAGTTGTTAAGGAACAATTAAAGAATCTGGATATCCATAAATCCATGGGTCCTGGTGGGATGCATCCGTGGGTGCTGAGATAGCTGGTGGAAGTCATTGCTAGGCTGCTCTCCATTATCTTTGGTAAGTTGTGGGGAACAAGAGAGGAGCCTGAGGACTGGAAGAAAACAAACGTCACTCCAGTCTTCAGAATGGGCAAGGAGGACCCAGGTAACTGTAGACTGATCAGCCTCACCTGGAAACGTAATGGAAAAGCTTATCCTTGGCGCTTCCTCTAGGCATATCAAGGATAAGATAAGAGGGCCATTAGAGGGCAGTCAACATGGCTTCACCAAGGGGAAGGCGTGCTTGACCAACCTGATAAGTGAAAGGTGAGAAGGGCCCCATAAGAGAAAGTAAAAAGGCAAGAAGGCTTCACAGTGACTGAGAATAAGGGGGGTGAAGGGGAATAGTTAGAGATAGTTTATAGAAGCAAGAATGTAGAGCTTGTTAGAAAATAAGAGATGGCAGACACTGGGTCTGGGATAGTGAGGGGGATGAAGGGCATAAAGATAAGGGTTTGAGAACGGCCCGAGGACATTTGTCAGGGAGGTGATTAGATGTCCACAGGGCAAGAAGAAACCAGCGTAGGGGAACACCCCCCCCCGAAAGGTCAGAAGCCTTTGCAAGGAAAACAACAAATCTTCATCCCATGACCCATTACGCATGTGCAAGAGGGGAGGGTCTGCATGCTAATGAACTCTCAGGAGTGTAATGAATATATATCCGAATTCCGGGAAAACTACTGATTATCTATTAGATAGGCCTATATCTGTAGCATGATTTTTCCAGATGTTGTGCAAGTTAGGCGGATCTATCCCCCTTGCACCCAATATCTGCACAGCACTGAATAAACCGTACCTGCTTTATAACTACCTTGTGGTTATAGAGTTTGTTTCTGCATGTCAGTAGCTTTTTATGAAGACGTAACCAGGTGGATAGATGATGGTAAAGCAGCAGATGTGGTCTATCTTGATCCCAGTAGAGCAATTTGACACCACCTCCCACAGCATCCTCGCAGCTAAACTGAGGAAGCATGATCTGGAACAATCAGTAGTGAGGTGGACTGTGAACCAGCTGAAGGAAACAAGTGAGGGAGTTGTGGTCAGCGGGACAGAGTGAGTCTAGTTGGAGGCCTGTGACTAGTGGAGTCCCTCAAGTGTCAGTACTGGGGCCAGTACTATTCAATATATTCATCACTGACTCGGATGAGGGTGTAGAGCGCACTGTTAGCAGGCTTGCTAATGATACAGAACTGGGAGGAGTGGCTGACATGCCAGAAAGCTGTGCTGCCACCCAGTGAGACCTAGACAGGCCGGAGAGTTGGGCGGGGAGAAATGTAATGAAATATAAAAAGAGCAAGTATGGAGACTTGTATCCGGGTAAGAACAAGCCCAGGTACCAGTAGGGGTTGTAGACTGACCTGTTGGAGAGCAGTGTAGGGGAAAGGGACCTGGGGGTATTGGTGAACAGCAGGGTGGCCATGAGTCAGCACTGTGCCCTTGTAGCCAAGAAAGCACAGGAGTATGATTCTATGAAATGTCCAACTCTGTGAGAAAATTGTCTTAACTTCATAATCAGGAATCAGCATAAATTAACATGCAGAATTGCTATGATACTGTTGCAAGGTCTGTTTATGCTTTAAACAAAACAAATGGAACTCCTTTTCTCACCCTTTTTGACGTGAATATTTGCTTATTCGTGTGTTGAACATCACAGTGTACCTGATCCAGTTTTGTGTGCAAGTTGAAATAGCAGTGGACCTCACTGCTGAGGAAACTGGGACTGCTGGAAAATGTGATGCAAATACTCTACCCACATGTCTTGGAGTAAGGTCAACAAGTGCCATAGCTGTTTCAGTGCTCCCAATTGTAAGTTTGAGTACTTGGCTGCAGCCGAAGTGCTAGGAGTATAGATAGTAGAAGGGCATCAGAGTCATTCAGGTAATGGCTGATGGCTCTTTATCTTCTGTTTTTCTTTCTTAAATATATCAATTCAGTGTCTCTGTCCTGCTGCTGCTGGAACAACTCTCTATTGCCACTCAGGTGCCTTTCCTCTTAGGTTCTTTCGCCATTATTTATGGAATATGATTTGCCTTATTTCATCTTGGATGTCAAGTATCCTCCCTTGGTTTTTCTTCCATGGTCTATTGGGACTTTCTGATAGAAGGGATGATGCTAGGTCAAAGCACTGCTATAGATCAGATGCAGTAAACCTCATTAGAAAGTTGTGCTGACAAACTGATATTCTTATTGCTTGTCCTTACTTTACTGTCAGAGCCTAAGCAGATGCCTTATGTTACAGTCTGGTGCTGGAATTTATCACACCCTTTGTTCTGTCCTTCAGCTGATTGCTTGCAAGCTGCCATTCCCATGATTGGAGCAGAGCTCTCCAGTCTTTTATATTGCTGTTTTTGCCATTGGTGATGGTAGAAGAGACTACCGTAGATGTAGCTTAGCCATAAAGGAATAAAGTGAAAAGAAACATACGAGCAGTCTTTCTTCTTCTGTAATGAGGTAAACAAATTAGTTTATTTCTACTGTCCCCCAGCTGTCTCCATTTCATGTCATGATCTTATGATTAAATTGATGTGAACTATATTGTAGCTTTTTGTTAC